CAGAGCAGACAATACCAACTGCTGAAAAAGGAAGCATCTTCTCATATAAAAATATTACCTTCAATTACCTGCCCTCCCACAAGCCAAACATTAAAATCACCCAACCCTATAAAATTCAGAGGTGGCATTTATAGCTTTCTGCTCTAGTAGAGTTCCTTCATGCCTATGAAATTCCCTCTAATACTCTCCTTAATTGTCACCTGGATAAAAAACTGTCAAGCCTTTATTCCTCTATAAATATCCCACTTTTTTATCAGACCATTGTAGTATCCTTGTCCACAGCCCTATAAAAACACTACTGCCATAATAAAGAAAGCGATCGGTCTCCCGTGAATTAAGTCACTGCTTTCTTCCTCAGTGACCTCATCACTGCTCCACACTGCAGGGGAGGGGGGAGGGGAAAAAAAGGTTGCTGTGAAGACTTTGAACCACATGGTCCATCCTAATGTGGACAGGTAGCTGTGTCAGGGTTTGAGGGCAAACAAGAGAGAAGATGCCCAAAAGACTCCACTGCACTTCTTCATATTTCTCTCTCTCATCAGAGAGTACATAAGCATGCTCCTGGAGGGTCATTACTTTTGTTTTTGTTTTTGTTTTTTTAGCTTAAAAATAATACTGAAATTGGTACAGATAGTTCTCTTAACAGACTCTTAAGAAGACTGAGAAACATATAAAAATAGAATTCTGTGTCAGAAAAGAATCCTGGAACACAGGGATCAGGTATATAATTAGAACCCACAATCCAAATACTTATATTACACAAATATTGCTTTGTTGAAGAAAGTTTGCAAACATTTAGCACATGAAAGAAAATTACCTGCCCTAGAACACCACAACATGTCATAATTCCACCTTAAGCAATACAGTATGAAAGAGGCTATTTTTAGCTTTTCCACGGTTGTTATGGCAACCACCTCCTGGCTCCAGCTGTACACAATGTTTATAATTCCAGGGAAGTGGAAAGAGCAAGTTTCCTCTATAATGTAATTATGCACTTTCTACTTCTATGGTAATAATACCTTAGTTTGATTACAGATACTTGTTTAGTGATAGTCAGTTGGCCTTAGGCTACAGTTCTAGAGGGTTTGGAAAATCTCATACATCAGAGGTAGAATGAGTGAAAGAAAAAAAAAACAAAAAACACAACAACAAAGGATCTTTCTAAAGGGCTCTGCTATTATTCAATGGAGATACCAATCCATAGGAAACCAACCATAGGAAACATGCCATTTTGGGGCAGCAAAGAGGGCAGGTTACAACAAAATAACTTACAATCTGTAAGTAAGAAGGCTTTCAGAACATCTGTTCCCTTTGAGTTTTCCTCTCCTCCTGGGCGCACAGCTAATGATATTGCTGGCCCCCCTTGCAGTTAGCTGTAAGGGGTCTCTGAGTTATGGACAATGGAAGTGCAGGCAGAAGTGATGTACACCACTTCCAGGTCTGGCCTGTAAAACCTCCTTCAAACCATCCCTCATTCAAACCCTTCCCTCATTTCATCTGTCAGCTGGATGCAGAGGATCCAGTGGAAAACTCTAAGGCCCCGGGAGTGATGGAGCCCCGGGATGGAAGGAGCCTGAGATGCCTGGATGACTGGACAGAGCAGACTTTCCAGCCCTGATCCATATTAGACTATGAGCTGAGGGAGAAAGAAATGTTCATGTTGTTAAACCACTGAAATTTTGGGGTGGTCTGTTATAGCAGTTGGCCTATCTTGACTAATACACCTAGAAACTCCTCTAATTCAAATAGAAATAGCTGTTTCTTTTCTTAACCCAAAGTAACGATTCATACAAATCTACTACCATTTCTCACTAGTTCTTAGCAAGCATCAAAATCACCCCATGGTGTTTATTTCAGTTCACAGCCTATGATAGCTTTCTACTGGATCATTTCTGCAGTGCAGTGAATTACTTAGTATGGTCCTTCTAGCCACAGTCTTTGTAACTCCTATAGAATGACTGGGTGGGACTATGCAAATGAGGTGATTCAGCTCAGCAAGGGGATTGGACTGCTTGCTAATGCAAATAACATGCATGGCAAATGTGATGGTTAAAGTTATGTGTCAACTTGGCTGGGGCACAATTTTCAGTGGTTTGGCAGTTATGTATTGATGTAACTGCTCCTCCATTTTGTAATTGGATATAATTTTGTGATATGTTGTAAATCCTAGCCTCTATGCCTGTGGTTAAGTTTCCATTTGGGAGAGTGTTGTCCATTACATTAGGGTGGGATGTATCTTAAGTCACTGCTTTATTAAAGGGTATGACTCAAATCACCACCTTTATCCTAGTCACCACTCTTATCATCCTTATAAAAGTTTCATGCTTGCACCACTTTGCTCAAGAAAGGGGAGTTTCCTTGAGGGTATAGTCTGCATCCAGTATATATAAATGCTCTGCCAAAGTTCTCACTCTTACTCTGGATCCTGCATCCAGTTAGTCATCATCTGACCTCCAGTTCTTGGAATATGAGCCAACAGCCTGTCGTCTGACCAGCAGATCTGGGTTTGTCAGCCCCTGCAACCATCTGAATCAACAGAACCCTCCAGCATGACTCCTGACTCAGATGTGGGACTTGCAGTCTCCACAACTGCGTGAGCCATTTCCTTCATGGTTCATGAGTTCTGTTTGAACTTGCAGTGAATTACAGAAACCAAAGAGGGAGGAAGAATATTGGGAGGAGGAGTAGCTGATGTTAGAGATGACTGGTACAATAGTTTGGAAAAGTTGGACATTTGGGACATCTTTAACCTGTGCCTCAGTAAGAACCAGCTTTGTGCTGATCCTTATAAAAGAAAATGTTCATTTAATTTCTTGACCTCAGTTTAAAACCAACTTGGTTTCTTCAAAACAAAGATCCAATTTATCTTCTGTATATTTTAGAATCATCCCTGGGTGGTATGAACAGTTAATGCATTTGGCTCCCAACCCAAAGGTTGGTTGTTAGAATGCAGCCAAAAGCCCCTAGGAAGAAAAGCCTGGTGATCTACTTCTAAAAAACAAGTCAGAGAACATCCAGAAGAGCCCAGTTCTACTCTGACATGCATGGAGTTACCATGGGTTGGAACTGACGGTCTCTGGTTACTTTGTCAAAAGAGGGAAGTTAGTTTCAATTTTTTTTTTTTAATATTCAAATTCTCTATGGCTATATGATTCTGACTCTTTTATTTTTAAAATACTGAATTCTATGGCTTCTTGAATCAATACTTGATGCCCTGCAAGATGTTTCACAACCATTATCTCTTTTGATATGATTTTTACACACACACATAAAAACTGCTTTTACAAAGACTTCTGTGATTCACAAGGATTTTTTTCTTAGTGGATAGAGTTACTGTTCTGAATCAATACCAGATTGCTTGCAGATGTCAAAACCAGGATTAAGGTAATGTCTGAATTTCATCCCTCCTGAGTTCTACTCTGTCTGCCCCAACTTTCTGCAATCTTTTACGGTTTGGCTCTGATTTGATCACTGCCACTTCTATATCTGACCATCAGGGGCACACTCCCACTGTCAACAAACAAGCCCTTAGAAGGTTTTAAAGGGAAATTTGACTAAAATAAAGCAATTAAAATATACAAAAACTGCATATAAGATGGAATTACACATAAAGAGCCTGACTGAGAAGCAGTTTCTCAACCAGTTTCTATAGATGCTAATAAAAAAAAATAGTTTCTTACCCTCAGTTTTCTCATCTGTAAAATAGGAGGAGGCTATCAAAGCTCACTGAGATCTCAGCATAGCATCTGGTAGCATAGTGCCTAAGGCACTTGACTGCTAACCAGAAGGCTGGAGGTTCAAACCCACCAGCCACTCCTAGGAAGGAAGGTTGGGCAATCTACTTCCGTAGTGATACTGCCTCAGCAACCCAAGGAGGGGTCGCTATTAGTTGGGGCAGACTCAACGGCACATAACAACAACAACTGCAATTAGCTGTAACCCCTGCTTGGAGCTGATCTTAGAGGTTTCTGCACAAAAGTAGGGTCCTTGGGTCTTCTCTTTTCAAAGCTATAATTCTTTTGGGTCTCTTCTAAACTCCTGGCCATTTTAAAGAGGAAGGATGCCCGTGAAGCCCTAAATTCAGCAAATGATCAAGCTAGCTCAAGATGCAAGCCCAGGTCTTGTCAGTAGGTTTTCTTTGAGGGCCTAGCCATCATGCAGGTCTTCCCAAAGAAGGAACAGAACTTAGTCACAATTTCACACTTCATGCTATTTCAAACATAAGATCTCTAAGGCACATTTACCAATAAAACTGAAAAGACAGGCATTGTATCCTAGTGGAACTCAATTCAAACTAGAATGCAGATGGGGATAGTAGACATAGGCTTTTCCTCCCAGGGCTGGGCTGACATCTTATAATCATTTAATGACGTGTCTAAAGGAGCTCTGGTGGCGTAGTGACTAAGGCATTTGACTCCTAACCAGAAGGCTAGTGGTTCAAACCCACCAGCCACTCCTAGGAAGGATGATTGGGCAATCTACTTCCGTAGTGATACCACCTTGGAAACCCAAGAAGGGGTCACTATGAGTTGGATCCAACTTGACAGCAGTGAGGCTGAGGTCAGGTTTAGCGTACACTCATTCTCCCAGTAAGAGTGGAAAAATGAGGATGGGACCTTGCTGGTGAAGCGCCAATGAACCGGGCTCTGACTGAGCAGTGTGTACAGCTTTAAGAAGGTATTCCCAGGAACATCCCAGGAACTCTATCCACCCCCTCAGAATAGCAGGCAATTGAGTTAGTGATGGTGACTCAGGCAGGCTTTTTAATCCTGATCTAAAGGAACCACCACAACCCTAGAGAGGAAAATAAAAAGGGAATCGAGTGGAAAAGGCCTCCACCACCTGATGACTCATGCTCCACCGTGTGACTCGCCCAGCACATTACTCTGTCACCAAGGCATGGAGGCTAGGTTCATTAGTCACTTTAATGAATTTTTCAAAGAAAGGATTCTCCCCTATAAATAATAATGAGCTCTGCCTCCATAGTGCTTGTGACTCACCTTTCTACCATGCCGGGCAGCACCCATTGTGTCATCTGCAAAAGAGAACAACACAGTCATGATGGCTGAGGATGCAAGGAACAGATGAAGAGTGAGGAAAGGCCACCCCCACAAGAAAGAAGGGAATCACAAAACCACTCACCACTTCTACAGATAGCAGTTTCTTTTCTACACTCTATATAATTTGGCTATGTCAAGAGTACATAAAAAGGAAATCAGATGAAATTACTGGAGATAACACTGGGAATACTTTCGGTGAACTTGGCTAAAATTAGTCTTGCCTGAAATGTAATACTGGCACAGAGATCTGCAAATAGTAAAGGCTTTACAGTGAAGTCTACCGAAACGCCTTCCCAGCAAAGGACATATGTTATCACAAGAAACATCCTGCCCACCAACACAACTTTAGCTTTCTAATCTCAAGACTTCAAACTCTTGCCAATCAAAAAAATCCTTTAGAAGAATATATCAGGTGACATGTTGGCAAATATTAAGTGTATCTTCTTCGGTCATTTCTCTTGTTGGTGGTCTAGCTAGTTGTAAAATAAAATAAAACTCACCCTTAAAAAAAGGAAGGTTATCTGTAATCTCCAGTGACCACTAATAAAAAAGGTGCTATCTGCATTCTGAAAGGAATTCAGAGTTGTTGACTAAATATATATATATGACAAGAGAGGCTACCTTTAAACTCTGCTTTAAGATATTTGTAACCAAGAAAATTTAAGTAATCCAATGGCTTAGTCAAGGTCACTTCATAGTTAAATACTGAGGTTGGAAGATGAATTTCTAACTCTTAGATATCATCAGTTCTCTAAGAAACAAAGGCTGTTTTGTAGCAAAAAGGTTGGAATGCATGCCAAGCATAAGAATTTCTATCTTAAATATATTAATCAAAACATACAATAGAGAAAAAACACTTTTTTTCCCCAGACATATTTTAAAGAAAGGAAATCCATCCAACCTTTACCAAGGTAAAATCTGCTATGTGGTGCTCTCAACCCGAATGTCAACTTCAAAGCTGCTGACACCTTCTCCAAATAAAAATACGAGTTTAAGCCGATACTGTGTCATAAACAATAGATTGATATGTTACCAACCAAAAAGACAAAGACGTATCTTCAAAGCCTACGGGAATCATTTCAACAGAAGCATCTGGATTTGGCTGAATCTTCTGGCCCAGATTTTTTTTTAAAAAAGCCATTAGAGTTTGGCCTAAAGGATTCTTGTTCTTTTTCCTTCTTACATACAAGTCTATATTTTCATATTAAACTCATATTCATAGAATGATGGGGTAGAGACTGCTAACTATCTCCAAACATTCACTGATTCTTTTTTTTCCAAAGCAATTGAAAACTTGGATATATGGCTTTTTTTCCTACTTCCATGGCCCCTCCATGAAAACTACAATTCCTATAACCTCTCTGTCATGTCTGGGGCCTCTGGATAAGGCAAGAGGGTTCCCTGGGGAACTCCTTCTGAACCCTTCTGGTTCAATCTTACTTAGCCCTCCACTTACTAGCTGTGTGACCATGAGTAGTTCCTTATGCTTCTGCTCAGAGTCTTTATCTATTAAACGAAGAAAGTATCTCCATTACAGGTGATTATATTCTGAGGTAAGGTACAAAACAGATCTAGTATACAGCATGGCACAGAGTAGGACTCTAAAGGGAAATTAGTGTCCCCATTGTCAGCACAATGAAGCACTAATTAAAAGGTTGACAGTTCAAATCCACGAGGCACTCTGTGGGAGAAAAGACCTGGCCATCTGCTCCCATAATGATTACAGCCTAGGAAACCCTACGGGGCAGTTCTACTCATATATATGTGAAACCAAACCCATTGCCGTGGAGTCAGTTATGACTCATATTGACCCTATATGACAGAGTTGAACTGTCCCATAGGGTTCCCTGCCTTAGCCACTGCACCCCCAGAGCTCCTTTACTCTGTCTTATAACACACTGCCGTTGAGTCAGATCCAACTCATAGCGACCCCTCCTTGGGTTTCTGAGGCGGTATCATTAAGGAAGTAGATTGCCCAACCTTCCTTCCGAGGAGTGGCTGGTGGGTGTGAACAGCCAGCCTTCTGGTCAGCAGTCAAGTGCCTTAGGCACTACGCCACTCTGTCTTATGTTGTTGTTGTTGTTATGTGCCTTCGAGTCGGCCCCGACTCATAGCGACCCCTCCTTGGGTTTCCAAGGCAGTATCACTACGGAAGTAGGATTGCCCAACCTTCCTTCTGAGGAGTGGCTGATGGGTTTGAACCGCCAGCCTTCTGGTTAGCAGTCAAGTGCTTTAGCCACTATGCTACCAGAGCTCCGTCTTATAGGGTTCTATAAATCGCAATCAATGTCAGCATGTACTATTCTTTTAGGATGCAGTACCACTAAGTATATCTAGGCCTGCCTTTAAGGATGTTGTTCCCTACACAGTTTACAGCTAAAAACAATGACACGTTTTGAGGTCATCCAGCTCAACTCAGCACACAGAAGTTTTGGACAGTTCAATCAACATTTAAAAATTCCTCCACTGGTATCTTTTTGAGGTGGTGGAAATGTTCTAAAACTGGATTGTAGTGATGATTGCACAGCGCTGAAACTTTACTAAAAATCATTGAATTGCACACTTAAAACAGATACATTTTATGGTTATATAAACTGTCAATAAAGCTGTTTAAAAAATACTTTGGTAATCACATGGGTAAGAATTAAAGAACTGGAATCATGAAATATATTTGATGTTACTTTATCAAATACAGGATGAAAGAGCCATCAGAATGTTCTATGCTTATATACATATGGCCTGAAGTAACATGAAACAATAAAAAGTCATTCTTCTCTTCAGTTGGGGCCATTTATCTGCCAAGATCTGCACTGAGTGGTTAGGACTCACTGTCTGGAGGGAAAACAGGTAAGTATATCTTTGCCAGGCAAGTGGTACAATACAGGTGAGGACAGAGGACACTGTCAGGAGAAGGAACAATTATGTCTGGATAATTGGGTAGAACTTTGCAGATTATGTTTCAGTTAAGTCATGAAAGAATAAATAGGAGCTCACCAGGCAGAAGAAAATCATTGACTATGACTTCACTCTACTTGGATCAACAATCAACATCCATGGAAGCTGCCCAGAAATCAAATGATGTGTTACTGCATTGGTAAATGTGCTGCAAAAGACCCCTGTAAAGTTTTTAAAAAGGAAACATGCCACTTTTTCTTTTGGTTACATTTCAAACATGTATAACCAATGAATAGGAAATATGTCACTTTGAGGACTAAAGCACATCTGACCTAAGTCATGATCTTTTCAATTGCCTTATATGCAGGCAAAAGTTAGATATGAAAAAGGAAGACAGAAGAAGTGATGCATTCAAACTGGTGTTGGTGAAGAATACTGAATACATCATGAAGAACAAATATATTGGGAAGAGCAAACAAGTCAGTCTTAGAAGAAACACAACTAGAACGCTCCTTAGAAGTGAGGATGGCAAGAGTTGAGCTCTTTTACTTCAGACACATCATCAGGGAAAGCCGATCACTAGAAGAAAACATCATGTGTGATCCAGTAGACACCAACGAATACAAGGGAAGCCCTCAATGAGATTGGCTGACATGACGATGGACTCAAACATATCAATGACCATGAAGCTGGTGTAAGACCAGGCAAGGTTTTACTCTGTTATACATAAGGTCACCATGAACTGGAGGCAACATGATGGCAACTAACAAGGGTCAGAAAAAACAATTCTAGTAGAAAGAAGAGAATGCCAAACGTCAGAGCTATGAGAAACTACAACGTATACTACAGAATTGAGGTATTTTTAAACAAACTTTTTCTTGGATGAATAAAGTAAGCATAGAAAGAAATAAAGAGTATTTTATCCTATTACATGTGTCATGCAACTTGTGTTTTCATTTGATACTACATCATTCCAAGTTAGTCCAAACAGATGAACATCAGGAGATTAAGAATTGTGGAGTATTTTATTGTAAGGATAGATTATATGCATTCTTTACAGTGTCTGAGAACATTTTTTATTTAGCACATTTCAAAAGGGGACCATAATGCTTAGCTAATGTATTATAAAGAAGTCCCCAAGCATTTTGTGAAGAGAATCCATTATTCAGTTCCCAAAGTCCCAAGATCACTAGAAACAGAATGAGGAAGAAGACTAGTGATAGAAATGTCCTTGCCCAGGGCTGTGTGTGTGTGTATATGTGTGTGTCCATTCATAATAAGGAAATGAGACTTGTTAACGACAGAGTAGCTAACTGGAGTACAGAAGGGATAGCCACTGCCTGCTAAGCTCTCCTTCCCAAAAGGAGCAAAGTATAGAGGCAGCAACCAATGTGGAGAAGCACCAGGAAAATGCACAAGATTTGCTGATGGCCTGTTATGTTGACCAGAGATCCAGCACCATATGAACATTAATAAATGGTCACACAGAGTTTTAAAGTCCAATTCTGATTTTTTACAAGATACAAACTTACACATCCCAGCATGGTCTCTAAGAAATACCACTTTTAGTTAGAATAATGTAAAAATATAAACTCATACATTAGGAGCTCTTTTTTCTCACACCATGTGGATGTTATATATTAAGTGTATCCTCTGTGAATGGCAAAACATTATCAAGCAAATGACCACAGGCAAAATGAAACCACACAAGATGGAATCATACTTACAAAATTATATCAACAACATGCTAAACATTATTTTCTTGATGGTCTTCAACGTTATAAACATGTTCAAAATATATTCTTTAGATACGTGAATTAAAATTTAAGAAGTTGATTAGAGTTGCACCTTATTACATATGAGAAGACACTTGGCTCAATACCATAACACAATGGAAGAAGCAAGGCTTTCACTGTCTGACTCCTGAACACTTGTCTGACCAAGAAATACCTGTTGAATGATCAATTACCAAATGACTCATCAGCAAAGATATATATCATCTCAAGAAAAAGTTAAATTCTTTCTCACTGCTTGTGGGTTTCCCCATTGATAATGATGCAAAATTATTTCTTTTTGCTAT